GCGCCACAGGCCCGATAAATTAATGACTGACGGCGGTTATTGGCCGTTAAGTCGATTAATAGTTCCGGGTTAACGAGCCGAGCTCGTCTTATCCCGAAAGCGTGGCGGCGCTCGCACCTCGTTGCGAAAACGCTGCAGAGCTTAATGCCCTCTCGGTTAATACAGCTCTCCTGATGCTATAAGAAGGAACAAGCCGGACTACGTTACGGACCAAAGGTTTCTCGGAAGTTGCACTCGGAAGTCTACTGCTCTTCGTGGAAGTACAGTAAAACTGCGTTTATCTGAATTTGTTTATTTGGAAGGGAAACAAGCTTAGTTACAACTAGTGCTCGTATAACAACAGTTATGACTGACTCTCCTACGATCTTTTTACGTGTGTCCATTTTTACGATAGTATCGAATCTGTTAGAACCGCGCTCTTACAGAGACACACCTTTCCAACTTTGCATAACACATCGAAGTATTAGGTTGTCCGAAAAATGACTTTCTTTCACAGACACGTCTTTTACAACGATGCATCTTTATACAAATATGAAACCTAATGTGTCAAACGTTGTGATCTTTAATCTTGATAGAACAAAATGGATCGCACGTAATTCGATGAAATAATATAAAACGAAAAATGTAGCGCGTCCATTATTTCCTTAGAAAACGAAAGAAACTTTTCGGCCGACCTAATGCTTGTGAAAGATAAAACAAAGAATGTTTTTTACGTTCTAAAGCCGAAGGAAATCTCGAATAAGTTGCTGTAACGTCCATTCCAAGTCTACGTAGAAGCTATAAATGTTCGATAGCCAAACTCGACTATCTGCGTAGCCACTGAAAACCGATATTCTTGCAACACGTCGCTCTCAAAGAAACGCTAGTTCGCTGATTGAAAACGCGACTGCGAGAACAACTTAAGACTCCCTTAACAAAGGAGACGACTAATCGCAAGCGATTACGAAAGAATAGTCAGAATTCCATCGTAGGACGACTTTTGCACGCAGCAAGGTTGGAAGTCGGATGGCCAGGCAGTCGAGTAGTTTTGCTTCTGCAACGGACACAACGAACACGACGAGACGAACTATGGTTGTGCACGTGCTCGTTTTCAATCAATGGCACCCTCGTGTAAGAGCACTCGACATTCTCCTCGCACGTGCCGATGGCAGTAACCTCGAAGACAATGACATGCCGACGACGAGCGCGTCGCCGCATGTAAATGTAACCTTTTGTAAGCCCGTGGAAGACGACGCGCGGCTGCCAGAGAGAGAATCGCACCGAGTGAAAGGTGCACGACGTGTCTCGATTCCGACGGACCTAGCCCCGTGCTTAGACTCCTCTAGGGATTAGGAAATGTCAGCTGATGCCACTGCACGAAAACATTCCGACGTTACTCCTCTGTTCTATCCATTTATCTCGTAGTTCGTTGTTCCGAAGAAACGGAAGATAACGCGGTGCGAAATGAGAAAATTCAAAACTCAATTGTAGTTTTGTTTGAAAGTACGCTGGAGATACGCGAGTTTCTCGTAGCAAGGCAGAAAGAATCTTCGTTCGAAACTGCCGAAGAAGATAACGCGAGAATGAGAAGATTTAAAGAAATCTTTAAGCTTTTCCTTACAAGTATGGCAGAACTTAATTCGTACGAACGAATTGGCGATCAACTTTTAGATACGTACAGGCTATCGCAAAATACGTGACAGAACGTAGGTACGTTGTATTTTTATGGGGGTCGATGTTAGGCATCGAAACGATGAAAGAAGCTCACACTGAAGAATGTCGCTTGAGGTTTATCGTTCGACGTAAAAACAATTTGATTTTGCATCAGAGACACACGGTTATCGAAAAAGAAGAATTAAAATGAATTAATTGGAAATCAAATTTCGTTAATGGTGTATGAAATCTGCTTTAAATCGTCCAATTTCCTCCTGATGCGTGACAAACGAGGCTGTAAGCTGTCGCCGTATTAATCAGGGCTCTAAAAAATGGCGTACAACACTTCCCGTAGCCTTTACGCGTCTTCAACTCGTTTTCTTGGACCGTATTACGCGTGTCGGCCGATTATTCATTCATCGATGAATTATCCGAGGGACGATGCTCGCGGCACGTTTTCCACCATGGCGAAGAATTCCATGTTCCCGTGGGGGCTGCTAGCGCGGTCGGTTATTTATCGTCTAATAAATTGTTCACCAATAAATAAAAGGCTCATTACAGGCAACAGCGCGTGAAATGCGCGGTGTGGTTGGAAGCGGTGAACCGACGATCGTAATCGACCGTAATTCGACATCGTGCACCCCGCTTCGGGGCTCTGGGGCAAAATGGAAACGGAAACGAATCGCCGTGATTCCCGCTCGTCGCAAGATCCTTCTCCTCCTTACGATCTTGCGATCACCGATCATTTGTTACGTGTGTCATCTTATCGCAGGAGGAAACAGAAAATGAAAACAGCGTTCGCGTAATATAGAATATTAGTGTACGAACGTTTACGTAGTAACAATTTATACGGCACTGAACAAGTACGCTATTCCCGATGAACGATACGTATCGTTTCAATTGGAGATGAAAAATTGAGAAAAATAAGGAATGTATTTGCTTATACAGGTATTCTTAGATTCCAATGGAGCGCTTTCTTATCAGATTCTATTAGGTTGTCCGAAAAGTTTCTTTCGTTTCATGAGGTGATAATAGACGAGCAACAATTTACGTTTTATATTATTTTATTGAATTAGGTATGATCCATTTCGTTTTATTATTATACTCGTGCATAATTCAATATGCTAATATAAAACGAAAGAAACTTTTCGGACAACCTAACATATCTGTTTCATTTCTATAACTTCAAATTGTTCCAGTCACCTGAAGATACTATTAAACGATACGCGTTTCTTATAAACTCGATTACGTTATACATACTTTCAACGTGCCGTTTCAATCGCAACTATTTAGCTACATTTTATCTACGTACGTATATTGGAAAATGTTAATTCTATTGTTGGTACGCATGTGCAACGAAGAAAAAAACGAGATTTAAATAACACAGGTATGTACAAATAGAACTCCTAAATAATAACGGCTATTCGACGTAAGAGATAAAACATACGAGTCAGAATTAATTATTTATCAAAAGCTAGTTTCAGGCTGGCGCTCCATTAGATAGAGGTTTGTTGATCACCGGAAAAGGGAATGGCATTTCCTTTTATCGTTCCTGCGACCATCCAATTAATTGCACTGGTCGCCGACAAAAGGGTGCAATCGTGAAAGTAGCGACTGAACCGCGTGCCTCTCGGCCTTAGAACGGTTTCAGCCACCGGACCCTCCGATCCACCGGCAATTAAGCTAATTAAGAGCAATAATAGTCATGCGATAATTACGGGATCGTGCGAGTCTCTTGGTCAACGAATCGACCTTCCGATAATCATGCTCCACCGCGATAACTCAAAATCTGGGTGAACTACGACGATGAGCATTTCTAAAGAAGAACTAGAAGAGACTGGAAGGTGGAGCACGAACAAATGTGCACGAAATCCAAACTCGAAGTCAGCCATCAAGGAAATGTAAACAATTCCTCTAAAATTGCTCATCGATCGTAACTCGCTTAAGCAACACCTACTTTTCGCCTATGGTGAAATTACACAAACGAAAAAACCAAGATTGCCGACGATTTAAGAAAGTCCCCTTTCCCGTCTTTTTTGTAGCTGGGAAAATCTGGATTCCTCCGGTCGAGCCAGTTTTTTTTTCCAACTGCTATCATTATCTCGCATTAATTCGCCGGCCTTTCACCGTCAAACTTTTCCCTCTTCTTATTCGCTTCTTATCGACGCCTCTTTACGGACAACAGGGAGAGAAAGTCGCCTTGTCTCCGTCCTCCTTTCAATTATCGTAACAGTACACGTCTTACGAAGAATTCGCCTAGCTGTTCCCTTTACTTCGCCGATTTATAAAACAAACGAAATGTGCTCGACTAAAAATTCCCGCGATAGGATCAACGCGATGTTCTTGAATAACATTCGTCGCGGGTTGTACGAAAAATGAACCGCTATACTTGGCGATACAAGAAAAATATCGGCGAACTATCCAGAAAATTTGTTGTCGCATGACAAATTTCTATCGCTGCAGATTGCTATACGATTTTCGCCCGTTACTCCGGTAATTTTCCACGAATGGAAATGGAATTGTCGCGGTGCTTTTCACGGAGAAAGCGCCACGTTCGGACGGTTTCCATGTTTTCACCGCGTTCGAGCAAGTCGCGCCACGGGTTCCGACAACTCGGCTAAACCGCTGCAATTAGCTGTACAATCGATGCAATTAGCGAACCCTCTGGCGTTCAACCCTGTGGTTTGATTCGATGCTCGTTTTCGTACGGCGCTCGAAACTCTGGAAACTCGGTTAAAACTAATACGATCACTTCTAAATATAGCGAGTAATTGCGAGTGACGCGGCCAAGAGATTGATGGCTTCTCGCGGCGGACAAAGAGGCCGTTACGCGATATCGAAGTCCGCGGAATTTTGTTAAATCGAAGAGGATAAAGACAGACGAGTCGTGCCGAGTCATAGGTTATCCATGAGGGACGTTGATTTAAATTTTGCTTCTCGTGATTGCTGTTTTAAGGTACCTTGTTAGATACGTGGTAAAAATGGCGATGAATTTTCAAACCTGCCTCGACCTTCTCATTTCTTTCTTACGATTTCGTGTGGCAAATTTTTAATTCGTTCGGAAACATTGAACCGTTTGCCGACAAACGCCGCACATATGTGTTCCGCATAAATCATCCATCTGGCCGATGAACTCATATATGCGTTCAGCGGAAACAACCGATAGATATGATACGGGTGTTGTGCACGAAATAGACACGACTTTAAGTACAATCGACTGTCTAAGAAAATCAATGAGGTCGTAGAAAAAATATCTTTTTTCATCTACTAGACTTATCGATATACGAGGCTCGCGTCGTTTACAAACGAATCACTGGCAGAAACGAAAAATTTAGCAAATTTCACGTTCTACGTGCGAAAGAAACGCTAGGGAAATACTCAGAGCGTAGAGTAAATCAGACAGCGATGACTGAATCAGACAAAGATACTGATAATTTTCCTTTTCCGATAACGGACAGGCATTTCGTATCAAAATGTCTCAGTCTGGCGGTCTCGGTCACAGTCTCAGTCGCAGTGTGTGTGGAGGAGAGTACTCTGCTGCTTTTGTACTTCTACTGTGCTTCCAAATAAAAATACAGTTTCCTCGAGCGTTTTCATTTAGCGGGTGGAGAAAGAAAAAGTGGATTACAAATTAAAAATAATTGAGTAGGTTAGCGAGGATATTGGAAATAATGGGAAGATCAACAGGTGGATAGTGGCAACTGTAGAAAAACTGGACTCGCGACTTCATTAGCAGAAGCCGCGAACACTTTCGCCGACATACGGGGAATGCGCGACGGTTGTCGATAATCCGCGAAGACGACTCGCAAGGAAGGTAAACACGCGGAGATTGCAGCCAATAGAAAAATATAGAGAGTTCTCGGAGAATAATAAAAGCGTTTCGAGGAGAAATTCCACGAAACGTGGCTGAAAGTTTCTAGTATTATTCGCGTGGTAAAGCCAGCAATCATTCCTAGAAAGCGATCGTATCGGCTGCCGTATGACAATTTAATAAATCCTCCTAATTATTATTCTTAACGCTGCTACTATATAATCATCGTTTTATCAGCAATAAAGTCAAACGCATAGCAAACAATCTTTAATTAGTGTACATTAGCTCACTCCAATTCCAGTAATTATGCGAGTGCAATTTTCGCGGAACAAGGGTAGCGATTTACCCAATCCGAAGAAAAAAATTATAAATTTTACGTATGACGTAGTCGATAGTTTGTCAAACACTGTCAAACAATCGCGTCGATGCTATAAAATCAAACAGCACCTGTAGAAAAAGGGCAACAATACCCACCAGATATCCGAAACCTAAATCCTAATACAAAGTAATACTACTTCTAATACTAATACAAACATTATCGATCATTAAAAAATAAATTCACATATTCATGAAACACCATCGAACCGATGCCTCGTCTTAACCAACCAAGACGTTGCTGAAAAGACCTAATCTAAAACTCACCGTAGTTAATCCTAAATATTCTACCTTATCCGATATAAGGAACAACTGGGCCTCGTATACACGCGAGTAGCGAAGAAGAAGCAGAAGGGCAAGGAATTGCGGTGTGTCGCGAACGTAGAGACGCGCGGCAGCCTGAGTCGCGGCCGAAGCGAGGAGAACTCTCGAGCAAAGGACGAAAAGAAAGGGAAAAGAGAAGCGCAGGAAGGGAAAGGAAAGGCAAGGAAAGGGCAAGGCAGGCCGGACAGTGGCCAGAAGCGAGCAATGTGGCCGGCGCGGTGCGCAAGCAGGCGTTCGTCTCGGTTCGTCGACCTCGAGTGGAAAAAATACAAGGCATAACCTACCGTAACACCACCACTAGCATCACCAACGGCACCGACGCGTCCATCGTGGCCGTCCACCGGTCCGCGCGAGAGAACCACCTGCGAACCAACCCTCCTCGACAAACGCAGTCCTTCTTTTTCTTCGTTCATCGCGAATGACTCATCTCGCGTAACGTGTCGTCCACTGTTTGCCAGGTGATCTCAAATACAAGGTACTCTTTCGAAGGCTACCGGATAGGCAGATGGCGAAGATTATGCAGGATTCGATGGGTTTGGTTTTGATGGTATTGCTGGAGACTTTTGAACAGGTTTGAATTTGCGTAGGTTTGCGTTCAGCCTTTGTGCGTTGATAATGAAGTATCGTTGCTAGGAATGTAAGATCCGCGGATTGTATTTCTGAGAGTCGAGACAGTATTCTCTAGATGCAGTCGTTCTTTAGATCTCGTGAAATGAAAATATTCTTGGGGGAAGATATCTTTGGATAGGGAAATGTCGAGTGATTTTAATTTGTCGGCATACGACGACGTGTAGAACCTTCAGACTGAGAATATGAATCGTAGATGCTAAGTTAATGACACTGAATGAAACATTATGGAAAGGATTAACCGTAGATTGATTAAATTTGGTCGTGATCGAGGGAGATCGAAAGAGAAAATTCGCTGAATTTCGAAGAGTGAGATGTATATCGGAACTTGATGCCACGTAACATTGAATTCTGAACATGAAAGAGCTAAAACACAGCCTCGCCCAAAGAGTATATTCTTCGGGAAATTGTTACAATTTAAATTTGAATTTGAATTTCAAATCTTACGTTCGAATTTTTAAATCGAACGTATTAAACTATCGACCTATATCTCTTTATCGGCAAATCTATAAAAAGTAAATCGTAACAGTCTACAAATACAGAGAAAAAAATTAATTCCACGGTTCTAACGAGTTTCAGTTGCACATACAACGAAAGGGGAAAAAATGGAGGAGAAGGTTCTGCAGGGAGAGAAAAAGATGGCCAATCGAATTACGAAAATTCCACGACACGCGAACGTGCCACAGCAGCCAGAACCTTCGAGGTGGTCTTATCTGTATAACTGTACCTGTCCACGGCAGTCCGCGATTGCTCACCGCAACGACTATTAGTGATTCTCCCGTTAGGATAAATACGTGCCAGGCGCCACGAGATCGTAACGATTAATGCCCGATTAACCTGGCCAGCCGCGCACCAACGTTCCAGAATTTCACGGAAAACCGTAGTTAG